GATGAAGGCCAGCAGTATTCTCGGGCGTGAAATATGAGCAGACCAGCCCAACACTGGGGCTCCTGCGTAGTCCTGGGAATAGGTAGTGACAGCAGTTGATTCTTGGAATGCCTTGGGCACTCCTACCCAAGTTATTCCCATGAATTTAATCATTGAGGCAAAGCCCCAGAATTTTGCGAGATTTAGTAACCTGCTTTGTTGGTCATGTGCTTTTAGATCATCTCTAATTATTTTGGGTTAGATGATAACATGGTAATGTTAGGTCTTTGCACTGGACCTAAGGCAGGGACCAGAGAAAGAAAGGAAGCTAAAGAAGCTTTATTAAGGGCTCTCCCGGGCCGGATCCCTTGGTCTGCAGAGAGGGAAACAGGCAGAGGGACAGACCATGGAAATCCCACGCCCTAAAGTGGAAAGGAAGTTATGCTACCAAGCCGAAGGTGGGTGATTTTCATCTGGGGCCCTCGGCCGGGTTCAAATTGTTTTCCTGTCAAACATTCTTCTAGGTGGTATAGCACTGGTCTGTGCGTTGCTGTGCAGAGGTAAGTCGTGGTTGCTGTGATGCTGAACACTGTGACAGTGATGTGCCAGTCGTGGTAATGGGTACCCGTGGTGGACAATGTTGTCTGGAGTGCCCTGACTAAATCAAGCCTGGAAGCAGGAGTGGCATCCACTTCTGAAATGGCTTGCCTCCGGAAACTCTATGTACGAACAGTGCTCAGGCCGTTCGTTCACAGGGTCGCTATGAGTTGTCTACAACTCACGACTCAAGGCACCAAACAACAACAACAAAGTGGATTAGGGCAGGTTTTATAATGAGGGTTTTTAGGGAGGGAAGGAAAGGACATCCCATTGTGGTTTAAGGAGGCAAGGGCGAAGCACTCCTTGGTAGTTTAATCAGATGAGGAGGGCTGTTCACTTCCTTTGATGACATGTTGACCTTCCTTGAATCCTTTGTTCTCGCTTTGACCTTGATTCTGGCCTGACAGGTAATAATGTAATATCCTTACATGGGAGATCCACACCAAACCTAAGTTTCTTCAGGGCTATAACAGTAAGTTGGTCATCATCATGTCGATTGTGTGACAAGACTGTGACAGTCAGCTGAAATCCTTGCCACGTGAAAGAAACTGTGGCTGTCTTCTGAAATTGGGACTGAGAAAAGGCACTTGCAAGATCAATGGCTAAGTATCAGTCTCTTTGGTGGTGTTTATTGTGTGCCCTCAAGTCATAACCAACTCATGACTGGCTCTCCGGTGGGTTGTCAGAGGCAGCAAATTGCACTAGTGGAGACTGCCCATCTTTCTCCTGGGGAGCCGCTGGTGGTCTAGAACCACAGCTTCTTGAGTGATTTGCTCTGCAGACACATTGAGTAAATAATGGTGAGAGGCTACAACCCTGATGCACATCTTTTTTTTTTAATTTA